AAAAAAACGTTTCTATTCATAAAAAATGGACGAAAACTTTATGAAAATTTCACAAACAATTGGTTTAATATGAAAAAAAAGAAACTTGAAAGCATTTCTCGTTGGGAACAAACATATCGCATTGAATAAGCATTCGGCAAGAGAACAACAATTACGAAGTGTAATATTCAGCGACATTAAAATAGCAATGATAATAATAATAATAATCACATCTTATCAATGATAACAAACGATATCACTAATAATATAATAAAGGAAGAGAGTCATCTATCTCTGTGGACTTTATCACGAACGAATTCATAGTTGCCTCATTCTATCGATGAGAATCTAAGAAACTATTCTATGAATCAATTACTAATTGACCACAGTCTATACCCGTTAAAATAATACGGAATTCAATACGGCACAAGCATACGGAATCAATGCAAAATGCAAAACTTTCTTGTGAGTATGAAACCAAAACATCGTTGATCACCTATCAAATTTGTTTTATTCATGAGCAAAACAACTCACAATTTATACTTTTATATCTACAAGTATTTTTTCTATAAATACTTTACATGTATAACACCGATGTGCTTGATAATCTTTCGATGCTGTATCCATAAATACAAAAGTACTTTTATTATGCGATAACCATACCATATCGGTTAGTTTTCGAATGCTTTGTGAAATATGAACATTAAACAGAATTTCGCCTAAAACAATCAAAAGATGAAGTAGCAACATTGATAATACGAATGATAGCAATGATAATTGTGCTATGTACAGTAACAATAACAACAGCAATAGCAGTACTAATAACACATAATAAGTTCATCACGATATATTTTCAGTAGAATGCAATCGAAACAAATGCTCACTCGAGAGGAACAACACAAAATGAATCACTCGGAATCGAAGACTAAATTATACAAATGAGACGATTCATATCAAAATAGCGCATAACCAACAGCAATAACAACAACAATAACAATTCACCAGCATATCTTCATAAATTGCAGCATTTATAATAGAGGTGATCTATTCATCCATAACTATAATCTGAGTGGTTTTCTCATTGGAAAGGTTGAATTCAACCGACGTTAATATTCATCAGTTAAACAGTAAGATAATCCTTTGATTTCAGCTTACATTTTCACTTCACTAAACCCGAATGGACGCTGTATTTTCAGAAAAAAACTTTTGGTGGATTTGAGATTTTTTATTAACTTCAAGGATAATCAACGAAATATCACTTCTAGAACTTGCAGCTGATACTTGAGCAATTCTAATATCAATCAGATTTTTGTAAGATCATAGCTGGTGATGCGTTATTGGTGTTATTGCCGCTGGGTGACGACGTAACGGTACCATTCAAATGCATTTTCAGGTGTTGTTCAAGATCGTGTGGTGAGGCGCACACCTTTTGACATACCGAACAAACCGTTCGCCACATCCACATCAACGCATCCACTGGATTGCCGTTTACAACACCTGAACTTGTTGGTATACCACCAGGTGGCCCTCCGCCTCCAGCGGATCCACCGGAAACGAGTGCGGGCAGAAGCGGTAG